AAGTTCCCCGAGAGGATCCACATATAAGGGAAAGAGAGATGACATAGTCTCAGGTAAATATATAAGTGGAGATGAGATACATTGACTGTTGTTACAGAAATGCTTCATTTGCAGTAGCGCCTAATGTTTAATTTACCCCTTAGTTTTGACATGGCTTTCCTTTTCTTTTTCTCAAGTGGTTGTGGAAGTAAAACTTTTTTTTTTTTTTTTTTTGGTTTTTCGAGACAGGGTTTCTCGGTGTAGCTTTGCGCCTTTCCTGGAACTCACTTGGTAGCCCTGAACGCGCCCGATCTTGTCTGATCTCGGAAGCTAAGCAGGGTCGGGCCTGGTTAGTACTTGGATGGAAGTAAAACTTTTGAATGTATGTCACCTATATGTGTTTCCCCACTTTTCACAGTTCTCTCACCATTTTAGTTTTTTCTGGATAAATTCTCTCAATTAATACATAATGTATTTTTTTATATTACACACAAACATGGATACTCAATACATAGAATACATAGAAGGTAATTGAATCATCTCAATCAGTGAGGAAGGAGACATGTTATATTACTCTTCCAACCAGGAATCAATTGCTCATTATATAAAAATCAAAGAAAGAGGCACAAAGAAACAGGAAGGAATGTATGCCCTGAAAAAATTAATGTTTAAAGTAGAATTGCTATAAAAGACATACTGTGTCATATACTAAGATGAAGTATTTAAATGTGATACAAACTTCCAAATGGAATTTGTCAGTCATAAGGTGGTGGGAAATTATCCAAACAAGAGTCTTTTGTTCTTTTTACTTTTCTGTTTTTTGACTAGATTTAAAGAATCTATTCCATCGTTTCTCTTTGTTAGCTACTAACCTCCTAGTCAACCTGCAATCCCCTTCAGTTGTGCTGACACCTCCTACCAATCTCTCCCATAGGGGCTGATGTTGATTTTCTTGCCCTGGCTGAGCAGAGTCACATTTGCCTTCATCACTTAGACTTCACTGTCTTCTCTTTAGCACTAGTAACAGTTCTGAGGAAATTTACAGAGGGATGTGAAAATTTAATCAGAATTAATGTAGAAACTGAAGTTTCTCTTCAGGTATCATCTTTACTCCCTGTGACACAGGAGGAATGTTCCAACATTCTGTACATGCACTCTAGCTGTTAAAGGCAGAGATGCTGAAGCAGGCCTAAGTTCTATGCCTTTACATTTGTGTTGCTTACTCATGCCTGAAATGAGTCCTTCATAGCTCAAAACTCATCCAAGATGAACATCGTCCTTTATGAAGGCACAACTTCTAATTCTTTTCTAAAGAGATCCACCTACTAAGAGAAAAGTGGTCAAATAAATGAGCCTATGGAGGCAATTCAGTGGGAACCCCACACACTCAAAAAGAAGAAGTAAGGCATGCCTTTGACTGGCCTTTTCATTTGATACATTGTGGAAATCTATCCACAAAGAAAGAGGCAGTGTCACTCATGTAGGTCATGTCCACTCAAACTGTTTTATACAAGTACATACATGTAGTTAAGAATATTTCTAGGATTGGGAGGGGCAGGGAGAGGGAAGAGGGGGATCTTTGATTGGGATGTAAAATGAAAAATATTCCTAATTAAAAACAATATTTCTATTGTACTAGATTTATATTTGTGCCTAGAACCATTATTCTTCCACATAGTTTCTGAACTCTCCTACTCTCCCATCACCCATAAGACATGTAAAAATTACAAACCTTAAAAATATATTATGCTATCACTAAGTATTTGTCGATGAAAGGATTGGTTTCAACATCTTTATCTTTCTGTGAAGTATCGTGCTCCAAACTGCTTCTGGGCAAGAAGCAGTTGAAAATGGCAGTTCACATCTGAAAATACAGATTGTTTTCATTATGAAACCAGTTTGCAGTCTCCTGAAGGGTTTAGTAATGTTAGATGTTTACTCGATTCTGGATATGACTGTGGAGCATAGCTTACTTCTTTAAAAGAATGTATCAAATCAGGTTATGTTAGAATAGTAACAATATTTATCTGAAAGCCTGAGATTCTGATAAGTTGAGGCTGGGCACCTCAGCAGATAGAGTAGTCCCACAGTGGCTGTCTCACATTGGAGAGACCCACAACCCAGTGGTTGCTCAGTGAATGAATCTGGCTACCCGAGCAGTCTGAATGTGGTACTAGAACTTTAGAAGTTTCCTGGAGAGGTGATAGTCTCTAGTCAATGGACAGATACTGCAAAGATGTTTCTGGTATCAGCAGAGCAATCCTCTGCAGCAGCAACAGGCTAAATCAATTCATCGGCAAGAGGAACAGCCAGGCAGGCACAAGGTTAACAGCCTGCATCCTACTCTGCCCTTTTTAATCTAGGCTGCTAATAGAAGGTTTCACCCACACATATGGGGTGGGTTCTTTCCACATAAATTAAGGCAATCAGGACAAGTTTTTAGTTCGGTTCCCTAATGAGGCAATTCTAATTTGTGGCAAATTGACATTAAAACCAATCTTCACATTCCACCATTGCTCACTGGTCACCTTAAAAAACATATGCTTACATAGACATAAACATACATACATCACATCAAGGAAACAAAAAAGGAAGGAAAAGAATATACTTAGAAAATGATATTCAAATTAAATTATAAAACAATATAATCTTTTCTTCTTCAAGCCTATTGAGTTCACAGTATAATACAGTCCTCTTTTAAATGTCCTATATTCTTAAAAATCCAGATCCTTTAAAGATCTCATATAAAGAAACAGTGTATATACTTTCAGTACATTATGTTAATAGTGTCTATTATAATTCCAATAGTGAAAAAATAAATGCCATAGCAAATAGGCAATCAAACCAAGCTAAAAAGACATCCAGCAGAAAAAACTCAAAACCTGGTGTTCTAATGAATTTGGAATGTAATATTATGAACTCAGAAATATACTGGGTAGTAAATTCCTTTGAAGAATAATTGTTTTAGTGTCTCATAACTTATTTTTGATAATATGGATTTATAACATTTGACTGATAATAGTATCTTATTCAATATTGAATTAAATTATAAATAGAAATAAGAAATCAATACTCTCTCATTAATGTATGCACACTTATTTTATTAACAAATAGAAAAAGACCATTTATGTTGAATATAATAATTTTATATTTTTTAAAGCTGAAGGGCACTCATTCTAAGGCAGTCTCAGATTCATGATCCTCCTGCCTCAGCTTCCCAAGTTGCTAGGTTTAGAAACATGCACCACTATTCCCAATAAAATGTATTTCTCAAACTGGGTGGTGAGATATATGTATTTGCTTGTATAAGGTATATGTAATCGGAGTTTATATAGCTACTGCCAGGTTGCTCTCTCTAGAAGCATCTGCAGAACTTAAAATGTAACATAGGTCTATTTTGCAGTTTCCTGTCTCAAACCTTGCACTTGTGTCTTTCATATGGTCCTACTGATATTGAGTGGAAGTTGGCAAGAACAAAGCTCTGGATGAGATACTTTGATGAAGGTGGAACTTGCTGCCTCCTTTCAACATTATCCCTGGCCCCAAATCATTTCTCTATCTTGCCAAGTGATTCAACAACACTTGCATTCCCCAAAGTGACCCTGATGGTGTTGTGCCCAGATTAGGACCCCCAAAGAAACCACCGTAGACCAAAGATGTCCAGACTGCGATAGCAAGGTTTACTTCTAATACAAGCTAGCAGGGAGCCCTCATCTGCAGCACCCGGCTAATCGAGGCATGGAGGAGAGTTCCTCTTTCTTGGGGAGGTTAGCTTTTACAGGCAGAAACCACAAAATTCTTCAGAGAGGAGGGGGTTAGTACAAGTCCACCCTTGATTGGTCCAGTTTTCCTGAGCTTGGACTTTATCTTATTTTTTGCTCTGTCAGAAGTTTTACAGCCCATCTCCAAAATCTGGTCATGTTATCTCGGGGGAGGGGGGCGTCTCGTGGTTAGTTACCACCAGACAGTCTGATCTTGTACTTTTAAAACTTCTGACTTCACCCTGTCTGGGAATGGGGAACTGACTCGGTTCTGGCTATTTTAAGATGTCCCTTTCCTCATCTCTCCGGGCCTTAGGGGGAACTGGGGTGGGGGTCTCTCAATGGAAGACAGAGGAGGCACAACTTGAGAAGCCTCACAGTGACACTAAAACCAAATCTGTTTCCCTGGACACAAACTGTTTTCCTCCTTTCCCTTCTGTATGACAGCTCTTATCTTAAAGATCATGAAACCACTCAAACTTATGCTTTTGACATTTCTCAGCCATGAGCCACTAAGTCATTTTACATGCTGAATATTTACCAAATCACTTGGAGACGTGAATGATAAGAGCGCAGTCCGACTAATGCAAGCTCCCTATCCATGCTGAGTCACAGGAACGCCAAGCTGATGACCTGACACAATGTCAACATTATTAGATACCAATTCCTCACTGGGACTAAACACAGCCAGTTCTGAGGAATAGAAGTCAGCTCTAATCTAGCTGTCTGTGGAATTGACTTGACTAGGGTCCCTGTCACATACAAGCAGCTGTGTAATTTTGAGAAAGTGACTCTCTGGTTGTCATTTTAATTTTCTCCTCTTTGCAATAAAGCAGCACTATCTGGTGGCCTCCCAGATGGCCAAATGGGTTTTCTGCTCCAGGTAAGAGAATGTGAGGCTAGGTCAGATAAGATGAGGCAAGGTGAGACAGAACAAGAACTATGGGATGGTATGTGTGCAGCTCTGGCCACAAGGCCTCCCTCTGTAACTTATGAGCAGACCATGGAGGCCTGAGCACCCACTTGTCCTGTGCTGAGCTGGAAGCCTGCGATGTGCAGACCCCCAGTGTTGAGAGGCTCCACAACCTTTGTCCCCATTGAGACACTGCAGACCATTCCCACCAAAGCCACATCCCACCAGAAAAGGCCAGCCTCCAAATAGAGCCACATGCAACACATCCAATCATAAATGGCATGTGAGGCTTAAGCCCGCCTCTGAAGCACTCTGGCCCAATGAGCATCCGGTCAGAGACTCTAAACCTCCCCCATTCCACCTGTTCTTCCGGCCTGGTACATTGAGCATGCTCAGACTTGAGGACGTGAAGGAACTGCTGAGGAACTGCTGAACCGTTGTGGAGGAGGTCTGTGCAGTTCACTCTGGTGAAGGCCGCCCCAGGCCAGGGTGGCCAGGCTAAGGGTCTCTGAGGGGTGGACCACACGGGTGGGAGACCGCCATCTCCTCAGAGTCTGGACTTCCTCACAGCCCCGGTTCTGGTGAGGCTGAGGTGAAGGCAAAGGCCTTCTTGGCAGCAGTCTTCCCTTAGGCCAGGTCTAGTGAGGGCTAGGGCAGTCTTCTCAGAGCCTGGAGACTCCTCACAGCCCAGTTCTCATGAGGCCGTGATGCCTGCTGTGAAGATCCAGGATGGCAGGATGCAGTTCTGAAAGAATGATTATAGCTTTCCTCCAAATTGTTATAAGCTTAACATTTTCTGTATTTCTTTACTTCATCTTAGTGCCTGTGGGATATGCAATATCCCTTTTCTCATTCCTTATGTGAGTAACTTTAGTATTCTTTCATTTTTCTTCGCTAGTGTGCCTAGAGATTTATCAGTGTTATACAGATATGTATCTTTCTCTTACTTCTTGTCATATTTATTTTTATTGAATTTTAAAAATTGATTAGGGGCTTCTTACTTTCTTTTTAGTACTTATATAAAATTTATGTCACAGATTACAAATTACTTAAGTCAGGTGTTAAATATTTCATATCTATAATCCAAGCCCTTGGGAAACAGGATTCCATGAGTTTGAGAACAGCCTGGGCTCCACACGTAGCCCTGGCTACACTGGGATATGCTACAGAGTGAGATCTTATTGTGGAACATACACACAAAATCCAAATGTATTCACGTTCATATAAAATCATTTCATGTTTTAGTTTTTTCTAATCATGGTTTAGCTTTATTCCATAAATTTTGTTATATTTTATTTCCACTTTGATACTTTTACTTTCACTATGACTTTCTCCTTTATTTATTTATTTATTTATTTATTTATTTATTTATTTATTTATTTAAGCTGAGGACTGAACCCAGGGCCTCGCACTTCCTAGGCAAGTGCTCTACCACTGAGCTAAATTCCCAACCCCAGACTTTCTCTTTTAATCTAATGATTATTTTAAGAATGAAATGTTTAATTTTCATTTATTGAGGATTATCAAGATACTATTCTGTTATTAACTTATATTTTAATATCCCTGTAGTCACATTGCACACATCACTTTATATCGGGTCTTTTATGTTTATTTAAACCTGTTTAGTATCTTGTAACATGGAGTGTGTTGAAAAGTGACTTGTGTGTTCTGGAAATGTTGTCTTAAGCTGTCATTTGAGGAGGTGTTCTGTAAATGTCTGTTAGGTGAAATTGATTGACAGCAGTGTTCATGTTCTCCTTGTCCTCAATGACTTTCTCTCCTTTCCTTTCTTCCTTTTCTTTTTTTTACAGTATAAGAACTTAATTTAGTTATAATTTTAATTTTTTCTCAATATCAAATCTTTTTTTTTTTTTTTTGGTTTTTCGAGGCAGGTTTTCTCTGTAGCTTTTTTCCTTTTTTTTTTTTTTTGGTTTTTCGTAATATCAAATCTTATCCTGTGGATATATCATGAGTAAAAGGGAATTTTCTGTTCCAAATGCGTCATCCTTAACCCTTGTTATATAGGAACGTCTGTCCTTATGTCAAAATTGCACTGAATTATTCAATATGTTCATGTTTTTTACAAGTGTAAAATCTCACTCATTTGACTTCTTATTGTTTAGTTCATGTTAACAAATGGTAGAAAGTGAAATTTGATTTCTTTAACCTTTGCATTTTTTCTTTTTTTATTGATTCTTTGGGAATTTCATACCATGTACCCCAGTCCCACCCATCTCCCAGTCCCTCCATATCTGCCCCTCACTCTTTTAGAGTCCCCCCATAAAGGAAAGAAAAGGGGAATATAAATGAAATAAAATAAACAATAATTAAAAAGAAGAAAAAGTAAAGCACTCCACTCCCCCGACCCCCATTTTTCCCACCTCTCTATCATCTTAGTGGCATTGAGAGCTGCTGTGTCTCATGCAGGTCTAGTATTGATGGTGTACTGAAGCCACGGGCCTTGAACCTGACCAACATCTCATTACACAATGAACATTTGCAAGTGAAGCTGTTGGACTTTCCCTCCTTTTGTTCTGTCGACTCCCATCTCCAACTTTAATTGTGAATTTGTCAGTTTCCATCCACTTTCTCAGCCAGGTTGGAGGATTTGTAGTTAAATACTTTTTAAGTAGAGTGTTCTGTCTGCCTGGAAAATTGATCCATTTTCACCACACACATGTATATTGTAATATTTGTGTTATTCATAATAGATACTTTCCCTAGTAAAACTTATTGTTCAGCAGTTTACTTTGGTAGTAACATGGGTACTAGGACATTTTAAAGAACTCTGCCTTTTCCTGCCTCCTAACTCTGACACTCTGCCCATACATTTGTTTTCTATTCATCATAGAGTGAAATTCTGTGTTGCTGTTTATCTAATCTGGCAATTTCTCCCATCTAGACCTTTATGTTTAATGCAATTACATGGTTAGTTTGAGTCTTCTATCTTGATAGTTTTAACTTCATGGGTTCTGTCCAAAATGTCTTTCTGTGTCTGCTTTTGGGTTTTCATTCTATTTATCCCCTCACCTAGCTTGTTATTTAGACATCTTTTTAAAAATTTAATAGCTGCTTTTCATGCACTGAAGGCCCATGGGATACTAAACTCAGAGCTCCTTTCTTGGTAACGTATGTCAGAAGCTGCCTGACCTCTGGAGCTCATCCATTGTGTGTTGTGTCAGTCAGACCAAATAGTAGTTTATAGTTTACAGATTATTCATACCAAAATTTCTGTCTTTTGTTATGGTGGACTTCAAAGCTTTTGTAAACCTTTTTTGTTTGTTTGTTTGTTTGTTTTTCGAGGCAAGGTTTCTCTGTGTAGCTTTGTGCCTTTCCTGGAACTCTGTAGCCCAGGCTGGCCTCAAACTCACAGAGATCCACCTGTCTCTGCCTCCCTAGTCCTGGGATTAAAGTCGTGCACCACCACCGCCGGGCTGTAAACCTAAGTTACAGTGTGCCTAAATTCCATCACCATATTATCATTCATCATATAAACCTTCTTAATTAAATATACATGATGAATGACAATATGGTGATGGAATTTAGGCACACTGTAACTTTCAATGATTAAAACTAATGAAATGCTAAGAAATCCCTTATAATGTTTAAATTTTATGCTTATTTATTTGCATCAACTTATACAACTCAGATTTCTTACATGGTCTAATAATTTTATATACTGGTGTTATTCTTTTGTGATTCTGGGTTCCAGAATGACCTTATAATACTTATAATTTATTTAATTACAATCCTTTATTCTTACTACTGAGAGTGTGAGAATGAACTGATATCATATATAGCATACATGCAACCCTCTCTGCCTCTCTGGTTCCATAAAACTCAATAAGGAAATTTTGAGAGAATACTTTTAAAATTCCACATATGTGTTTATAGGGGGAGGTATGTGCACAGGAGACCAGTTCCCACAGATATAAGGAGAGGCTCCAGATTTCCTGGAACTAGGATATTGGTATTTGATTATGAATCACTGTGATGGGTGATGGGAACTGAACTCAGGTTCTTTGAAAGAGTACAGTGTGTGTTTTTCTGTGAGGCCAACTCTAGCCCCATCATTCAAACACTTTAAGAGAAGTTTAGAAGATAGTAAAAATGTAGTCATTGTATTTAGTTGTATAAAACTCTATAAGCCCTTATGCAAATAAGTAATTTTTTCTGTTTTATTACTTCTAAAATTCATCTTATTATTCTGTACATATTAATTATACAAAGTCAGTAATTTGTTCATGTACATCCCCTCGTTTCTCTGTTATATTCCCTCCATCTAAAATATGTGTCGTCACACTTCCTCAAAAATTTTCCTCCTCCTTTCATATTTTTTCTAGATTCCATTTATGAGAGAAGACACGGGATATTTGTATTTTGGAGAATTGTTGATGATACATAGTTGCAACAATTCTCTTGAGAATTATATAATTTTTTCTATAATTTTTCTTTCTTTATTCAATTACCTTGAATTATTTATGTATATCATGCTTTCTTTATCCATTAATATATTGGTGGTCATCTAAGCTCATTCCATAAATCATCTGTGTGTAGGTAGCACAATGATAAACACAAACCCACATACACACATATACATGATTCAGCATAGTGAGTTCACTTTTAGAAGTAGGCACACCCAGGAGTGACACAGCTGGTATGTCTATGTTAAATTTTCATTCATAACCATCATTATAGCATCCATAGTACCCAGGATGTTTTATTTTACAATAAACATGGCATATATGCTCTTTTTTACACTTCCTATGCAGCATTAAAAAAATTAGATTTGGTGAAAATTGTAATCATTAAAAAGACACTTGAAGCTGGAATTATGGGGCAATCTAAATATTATTCACCACCAAAGGATCATTTATCCTCTTCTGTGTTTACTTTTTTTTATTTTACTAGTGTGAGAATGGGTCTGGGGACCCAAGAAAATGACCACATAATCTGTAGTGTTTGAGCCAGACTATAAGTCCTGCTGAAAATTTATTTTAATGCAAGTGGTTGCTATGCCTTCCTTACTCTGAGTGGTCAGAGCTTGACCTCATATTACTGCATGGCTGGTTCCCTCAGAGTGGTCCACTTGGTAAGCAGAATGCACTTGTGAGTACCTAGTATAACTTTGCACACATATTTGTATCTCATATCTATGTTGGCATTTGAGATACTGACTCAGATATGGTCATTATGAAAAATTGTTTTCAGCATGCAGAAAATGAAACTCTGCTCTTTTTCTTCTACCATACCCAAGCTCTGCACCAAATGTGTCATGGATATCAAAATGAGACATGATACCCTGAAATTGTCAAAGGTTACAGTAGAGCTAATACTCCCACTTCAAAGCACAGGTAAGGGATTTCTGAGTAGGACTCTCATCCAATAGTAAATGAGACCAAAAATCAACAAATATGATCTTATGAATTTAAGACTTTATTTCAGCAT